GCACAACAGAGCACAAGAGAACCCCCCGGCCCGGCCGCCCGGCCCGGCCCGGCCCGGAGCCTGGAGCTTCGAAGTCTCTTGCGACGCCGTGGCACGCCGGGCAACCGCCAGCTGCACTGCTCGCGAGGCAGCCACGAGGGCATCGCTGAGCTTCGTGCACCTAACATTCCCCCCGAACTTTTTCAAGGAGCTCGCCGGGTCCCCCTCTCTCTCTAAAAGCACGCAGCTGACTCAGCTCAGGCGGCAGCTCATTGATGCGCGAGAGGCACTTCGCCATGAGCTGCTTGATCTCCGAGGTGCCCACAACTCCGGCAGCGGGCGGATCCTGACCATTGGACGCGTGAAACTTCACTTCGAGGCTTCCAGCTCCAGCACACAGTGCTCCTTCATCTCCGGGCCGTTTTTCACCAGGAAGTCCATCTCAGTACGGCGCAGCTTGTGTGAACCCCAGGCCCTGTTTTGCGCAGCAGTGAACCAAGCTATCTTGTGCAAGCATGTATAATGCATGCATGGGCGCATCCTGTTCCGCTCACAGCTGTCTGCAACTACAAGCATTCCTTTCCGCTGTACAACTGGTTTTCCATGGCATACACTCGGGCTCCAAGGTGCGGACGCAATTCTTCACAAGTTCCCTGGTCTCAGTGCCCGCGGCCTCCACGGCCGCGGCACATTGGTCCACCTTGTCTTGTGCAGGGCAGAGGCACGTAAAGATAACTTTCTCTCTACACCTCTAAACCTACCTGCCTGCCTGTCTATCTAACGATGCACCTATAGAGCGAGAGGGAGAGGATTGTTGGAAGCTTCCATGTACATACACGTAGAAATCAAACATACGCTCATGGAACGACACGGAGAAGTGCTGTCATCAAAAGCGCGTCTGATGGTTCGTCGAGGTCGCCTCCTCTTGGCTCTGCGTGTCCCCCTGCTCCAGGGGAGCGCAGACCTCTTTGAGGCGCTCCACCTCGTCAAGGATGGAATGTTTAATTTGAGGGCATGAGTCGAATCTAGGATGTCTTTTTGCAAGGGCTTGTAAAGTTCTGTTGTTCATTGGTGTTATGGCCGTTGGGGGTTTGGGGTTGAGGACACCAAATTTAGGGTACCCCTTCCGCGCACCCCGGTCTCGGCAGTATCCAGGAGCTGGCTGAGCTCGATGAGGAGCTCCTTGGGCAAGCGAACGACACAGGGAGAGAAATATGTTTACAGACACATGTACAACCGCTGTACAATATATTAGTATGGTATCATAGAAGAGGGTAAAGTATAAGACAATGCAGCAGCAGCCGCCGTGGCTGTCGCTTCAGCAGCAGCAGCAGCAGCAGCAGCAGCAGCATCTTGTATCGCATCAGATTTACGGGAGAGGGGAGACGCGTTGTGGAAGCAACACTAGCAAGGGGCAGGAAGTGTCGTGCTTTCGCCGCTGCGCTGTCCTTGGCGCGCTGCTCCATCTCCTGCCGCTTCTTCTCGTCGGCCTCCTTCTTCTCCTGCGCCTTGCGCTTCGCCTTCCGACAGTCAGCATGTGGGAAAAACAGTCTAGAGGTGTGTCCTCCTGTGCGCTTTGCCCATGCCTCGTTCAGCATCTCTATACGCTTCTTCGCTTGGTCAAGGCACTTGTCGCTTTCCGACTTCATATGATCTTTCTGGCTTCCGGTGTCCTGGCAGAGAGCAGGCTGAGGGGCCCTTTAACGCCGGACTCCCCGCCGGGGCTCCTCCAGGTGCTCTTTGAGGCACTCCTCCAATTCCTTCTCAAGCGCATCAAGGTTCTCCGGAGTGGCTGCAGCCACTTTCTGGATGACCTCACTCAGAGTACTCAGGGCCATATGCCGCCCCGTCGGGCAAAAGCCGCAATTTTCCAATTTTCTCCACCCTGCCTAAGCAGGACAACTGACTGCTTGCAATCAGGCTCCGGCCTTCCGAACCATGAAGACGGCCTTGCCTTCCTTGATCCGTTGCTCCTGAAGCTCCTTCTGCCGCTTCATCTCTTCCTGCGGCACGTGACTTCTGAAGAGTCTATGGACTCTATGGGCTTCGAAGGCCCAGGCGAGGCCTCCTTCTTCTTGCGGACCTCCTCCTGCTTCTTGCGGATCTCTTCCTTCCGCTTCCTCTCTGCTTCCTTCCTCAGATTTCAGGGAGCCGCAGGCGGCAGGATACAGTAGGCTGCTGGGAGAAAGCCCGGCCTCTTCTGCTCCTCGGCTTTCTGTCGCTGAAACTCCAATTCCAACCTTGTCGTGAGACGGCAAAGACCACGCACCGCGAACCAAAGGATCGGTCCCGGCCCGTCCCGGCCTTCGCTTTGCCTCTTCCTGGTGCAGGCGCGCGTACTCCTCGCGACGGGTTTTCACGTCAGATCACGACTCCTCTGCGGGCTCTGCCTGACAAGTCCTGCATGTGCCGCTCTGCCGCATGGGGGTCCATAAATGGCATGCCGGGCATCCCTGGCATCCCATACCACATCGAATAAGCCTCGGGCAAGGAGTGCTCGACCCTTTGGCAAGAGCTTCTCACTTCGCTGATTGCAAAAAGGCCAACACCAGGCTCTTCCTTCAACCCAGCAAAAAATTGCTACGTCATGGAAGGGAAAAAGGATGGGCCTGGAGTGGCTCTTCCCCTGGCTTCTCAGGACCCTCCTTCCCTCCCTTCACTTCCTTCGCTTCCTTTCCTTCCTTCTTGGCTTTCTCCTTCTTGGCCGTCACCGTGAAGTTCTTGTCCACCGGCCCATCGTAGGGCACCTGAAAAGAACCGACAGGCTCTCTTTCAACGCAGCATCTTGAAGAAGCGTCCCGAACCCTAATCAAGCCCAATGCAAACAGATCAATCTGAGCCCTAAGCTCAAAAACATCTTCACCCTATCTTCGACCGACTTCTGGGCCCACCTTCCAGCCGGTCTCAGGCGGGGTCGGGTCCTCGCCGGGCTGATACGCCCAGACCTGTGTAGCTTGACACTGCGAAGGAAAGTCAGGCAGAGCCTACGAAATTTCATGTGCCTTTGTGCTTTTGACAAAACAAGCATTACGAAGCCTGCTACATAGTACCATAGTATCTTGCATGTTCTCCTGCTCTCTGTATTCGTGTCGTTGCCAGTCTCCGCTAACAGCCAAGATCAAAGCTTCCCAAAGACCCCAGATGGTAAAGTCTCGCTATCCCAACCTCTCCTCTAGCAAGAATCGCACCCACTAGTAGTATCTTCTCTTTTTCTTGAGAAGCCTTGAGGGGAGCCCACGGACCACACAGTGCAACACAGGGAACGTAACTCCGCTCTCTGCTCTTAAGGCCCTGCTCGCGGCGCGCCTGGTCGCCGCCGACCTTCGGTCCGAACCACCAGCCGGAGAAGTCGGAACCGTCCCGGTCGTCCCAGAAGTACAGGAGGACCTTTTGTATCAGAGGACGAACTAAAAAAGTCCGAGTGCTTGCTCCAACTATCGCTCTGCGCTGGCGGGCTGCTTCACCGGAATTCCCAAATGCGCTAATGTAGTGAAGACACCACATACAAACAGAATCTGAGAGGGGACAGGCGCAGCAGGTGCCCTGAGTCAAGGACGTCTAAGTCATTGAACTTCTCATCCTTTTGGTAATACGGCCTTGCGGTGCAAAGACAAGCTCCGGACCTACAGTGAGAGCTCACGACAAAGGCCTGCCGTGGTTTTCGCCAGCAAACCTGAAACTGCCACGCACGATCTTCTTGACCATCTTATCTTTCCCACCAGAGACCACGAGTCCTGAGGCGGAGAGCCTACAGAAAATGCCAGAGCAATGGTGTATAGTATATATAGTATATAGTTTAACATATGGGATTGATAACTATTTTTGCAATGTCACCTAGCATCAAGGGATCAAGCGAACGGCCAGGTTCTGGGTCCTTTTGGCCAGTTCATGGCGTCACTGTCTCGAGTGGGAGCTGTGGCTTTCTCTTTGGCCACCTGGGCGTTTCAGAACGTATCAAAGGGGCCCTGAAGTAACCCCCAGTCAGCCCTGGAAGGCTAGAAAACCCCAGAAACCCCCACCTTGGTCTTGGTCTTTTTGGAACTTGTAGCCGGCTCTTCACGCTTGGCCTCCAGAAAAGAGAACATGCGCACCTTCAAGGCCAGGAAAAGCTTGTTGCCTTCTTGGAAGCTCCATAGCCAAAGCCGGGATATTCATACCTTGGCAAGACACACACTTTCTATGTATATATGTGTGTGTGTGTGTGAAGGTCTCCGTTGCTCCTCGCTCTTGCCCTCCCTCGCCCTCGCTCTTGCCCAGAACCACTACATCCAAAGATGTGCCTGACTTCGGGAGCGGTGGCACTACGAGAACAAGCCTCTATACATTGCTCGACCTTTTCTTGGTTCCTAACTTACATGGCATGACCTCATGACCTACCGGACCTACCGATAACACATGACCAGTCTGGAATGTGAAACTTATTCGTTCGTCTCTGTGCGGAGTCCATCCTTCCAGGCCCCCAGGCGAAGACCCGGAAGCCGCAGAGGCCGGTGTCAACACCGCATGGCCAAAGCCCGGGAAGGCCCCGTAGGTGGGAAATGCGTACCTCTGAGACAGAGAAGAGGGTCCTACTACTCTGTTTTGAAACAATATTCTCGGGAAAAGAGTCCTGCTACAGTACGAGTTTGTCCTTTTCCTAGAGTCATGGAACATGGAATGTGAAAAGCAAACTGCGACTGAGGATGTAGATACTGTTATTGCCACAGAACCAGTGCGATTCGTGGATTGGTGGAGCAGTCTACATTACTTGCGAAGGAGAAACATCTCCTGGCGCAGTGCCGCGTGCCCACACCTGGCAATCTCACGGAGAAGACAAAGGAGGAGCAAGCAGCCAGCGTCCGAAACAAAAACACAACTCTCACGAGGACCCGGCTGGGAGGATCGCCAAGCTCGTGCCCAAGCATGTCTTTGACCCCACAGGCCGAAACAGCTGCGGTGTGGCTCATGAAGTAGCGTAAAGCGGTACTCTCAATATAGCAGCCTTATCGACCCGTGCTGCCTCGCAAATCTGAGACCTGGACTAAGGCGACGGCACCTTGCTGCCAAACTGCAGTAGCAATTAACGAACCTACATCGAGTCTTGGCTTGCATGTCGGGGTGCATATATGAGGACTACATGGGGAGTCCTCAGCCAGGGACTTCGCACGCCGCCCACAAGGGAGGACCGAAGCCCTCGAGCCGCCTGCGGGGACTGGAAAGCACTTCTTCGTGCAGGCCGTGAGTGTGTGTGCAGGGGGGGGGGGGTTTACGGGCCTTCTACAGGCTTTCGGGGTTCGAACTCGAGAACGGGACATCGACGGGCTCTACTGGTAGGGGTTTGGAAGATCTGTAGTGCTGTAGTGTAGGGGTTCGGACCGTTGGGGACGCCTGAAAAAGTGAGAGCACTTTTGTCGGTTATGAGCTCCGCATGTCGGTCTGCACGCAGCCCTCGGCGAAATAGACGTGCGGCACTGCCCCGATCTCGGCGGCCGTCTCACCAAAGAAGGAACGGGAGAGGATCAAGACTTGCGCTGAAGCGAGGAGCATGTAAGCAACGTAGGAGTCTTGGAAGCCTTGCAAGCCCAGGTTGGCGTGGGATCGGTCCACGTGTGCCAACTTCCACTTTTCCGCCTCCAGGACCCGAAGCTTCCCCGAGCTTCGCAGAGACTGGACTTGAGGCATCTCAAGCGCTTCAGTGGTGTCGGTGCTGAGAAACCAGGGTGTGCTCGGAGGCATCTGCAATTCACCTTCGGCCACTTTCGCGCAGTCGAGAAACTTCTCTAGGCTGCTGAGAGAATGCCGAAAAGGATCCCACCAAAGCCGTGCGGATTCGTTGCCAGCACGGAAGTGGATGCCCAAGAAACCCCTCCCCCTGCTGCCCTTGCTTCGATCGCTCCAGGGGAGCGCCATCTCTGAGATTCCAAGGTCCTCTGCTGCTTGTTGCAAGCGTTGCTGGAGCATTGTCGTGGGCTGGAAGAGGGTGTCCCAAAGCCTCGCGGCGAGGTGGGAGACCTGCTTCAGCTTCATCTGCTCGGCTTGCTTCCTCAAGAGCTCGTGCGCCTTGGGTCAGGGGATAACAGCCGTCTGCAAGATCCCCTCAAGCCCAAACAGGGTCCCTCATCGTTTAGCTTTCACTGACTTCCACTCCCGACACTACAGTCACTACACTACCCGAGCGGCCAGGAGCACTTTCAGCTCGCGATGGTTCATGGAAACGTGGAGAATGGGGCTTGGGTCTTCCAGCAGCCAGGTCAAATCCTCCTGGAAGGAGACGCGATCATCCAGGTAGAACAAATGGGCCCCCTGGCCGATGGAGCCCAAGCCCTGCATCCGCCAGTCCAAGATCGCCTCACCAGAAGCCCCATGTAGGCGCGGCTGGAGCAGAAGCGTCAAGGGCAAGGGCGAGTCAAAGTCGATGAAGAAGGCGCGAGAGGTGAGCAAAGCCAGGGTGAAGGCGGACAAGATGCCATTTGTACGGTCGCCGTGGCCACCACAAAGGGTGAATGGGTTGCACACGTAGACTAAAGCACGAAAGTGAGTCCCAGTTGCCTCGGACGCCGAAGCCCGGCTGATGCACCGGTGGTGGAAATCCAAATATGGGCCCAGGAAGGGGGAAATGCCGTGGCGTGTTCGGAAGCCTGGCAGAGGGCCTTGTAGCTCCTCGACGTGGCCTTCCTCCTGCCTAGGCTGGAAGAAGCTCATTGAATTCTCCTCAGCTGCCTGGGCCCAGTGGATCAGCCGCAACAAGAGCTCCTTCGTCATTGTTTGCCCGGCATTGTTTGGTCGGTGGGCACTTTGGCGGAGGTCCAGGCAGGCCAAGCGCAGCGGCACTGCGACACCGAGCTTCTCTCCCAGATGTTCCCTCAGAATAACCCCATTGCTCAAGGTGGCCTGGTGCCGACGCCACAGGACTTCAACCCGTCCGCCCACGGCACGTGCCCTTCTTGACAGCTCGCCAGCGAGCACGGGACGGTAGTTTGTCTCCCAAGCTTCGCGCAGAGAGTCTTCAAGGAAGAGTAGCTCCAAGTCTTCCGTGACCTGCTGCAAGGACATCGCCGCATCCCAGGCGGCCTCCATCTCCTCTTGCGAGGTTCGGTTCGACAGCAGGAAAGCCACCGCGGTGGCGGTGCCACGGCTCGGACGGCTCGAACTCGGGCTGGCGAGTGAGAGCCCTTGGTGAAAGTTCGGCCAGTGCCAGAGCGGTGCTTGCACCAAGGCCGAATCGGAGCCCCAGAAGACTTGGGATCCCCCTTGGAGGAAAGCGTAGTCTAAGCTGGCTGTCAAAGCTTTGAGCTGGTACACCAGCTTTGCCAGAAACCGTGTGAAGAGGATGGATAACCGATCCACCCAGACATGCCAAGTTCTCACTTCTCCTGCTCGACGCTGGTAAGGGTACGCCACATCGTGCGCCAACGCACGCCGGTCAAGATCTGAGGGCATGTAACCTGTTTGGGACGCTAGGAGGGGCAGTTGGAAGCACTCTAGAAGGCCGGATTCTGCAGCCGACTCTTTCGACGCCAAATCATTTCTCCGGATCTCTCCTGCAGAGGATCGTAACCGAATCTGGAGATTCACAAGCCGCTCAAGGTAGCGTCGCTGCGTCCGGAGGGACAGTGCCCACGACTTTCCATTCCGATGCAGGAGGCAATGTGACCTGCAAATTTCACATCTCTCAGGCCCAGAGTGAGCCGGAACCACCCTACGAGAAATAATAGTAGCGAGTTAAATTTCACAAAACACAAGCGAACATCTGCCCGGACTAGGCTGCAAGCCTCAAGGTGAGCAGAACACTTTCGCGCTGGAGGCTTATTCCTTTCAGACCCAACGGCAAAGCCACAAGCTGTAAAGCTTCTATGCGATCGACGAAACGCCCTCGCATCATGGGCTGGCAGGGGCTGTCAGATCTAGAACGGCCGAGACTCTCTTGAATCTGTCTGGTATAATCCCTCTGCTGCTCCATGGTTTTCACTTTGAAGTCCAAAACCAGAGCTGTATATTCCAAAACCGAATCTATCTTGTCCAGGCTGCAGCATGTTTTGTCCGCTCGTAAGCCTTTGTCCGAGCCAAGTCGTCTCCAAACGCCAGCTGCTTCCTGTGATGTTTGGTACCGGCCCATCTGACCACAGTGGAGGTGTAGTGGCAGTAGTCCAGCCCATGCGGCCCATGCGGTGCTGCAAATGCACGCCCATTGCACCCAGCGTAAGAGTAGCATGAGCTGGACTAATCTGAAGGAAGGGTCTGCAATGACGTCTGGGGAGCAGCAACAATCACAGAAGCATGAATGACACGAGCGCACGCTTGCTGACATACCTGTCCTGGTTGCGGCCGCAAAGCACACTAGGGATCCAACATCTCTTACCGTCGCTGGCATTTTTGCTATGACCTGCAAGACCAATGGTTTTGATGAATAGCTTGAGCAGCAACTCGGTAAAGCGTCAGTGACTTGGGGCAAGACCTGCACAGGAAGTTCCTCATCTCTGCCTCAACAGAAGCTGAGAAAGCTGAAGAAAAGTCCTCCTCCCGGGCCCCTGTCCTGTTGAAGCTAACATGGCCCGGATGATGTTGAGCCGGATGGGCCTAAAGAAGGCCAGTCTGACTCACAACTGCATCCCAGCTTTTGAAAAGTCGAATCTCAGCTGGTCTCGATGCATTCTGGCTGCGCCTCAGCACTGGGAAAAAAGGCGCGGCCATCGTGCACCAAGTTGACGCAAGAAAACCTCAAGCGCCGAACTCCCGAAGAGCCTTGGTCAAGTGTCGCTCCACGGTTGTCGCCTAAGTGATCCCCCAGCCATGGCCATGCCAAGGTCTTCAACACAAGCTGCTGAAGCACGGCCCCTTTGGTTTAACTGCCTCGGGCATGCATTCTCGTCTCAGGAACGGACAGCCCGAGAGTCCTCAAGGAACGTATCAAAACAGGCTTTCGTCTTGACGGACTAAGGTCATCATAGGGTCATAGGGATTTCTTGCAACTCTCCGGAGTATCGCCGGGGCAGCCCCTTAACACCAACACCTGCGCGGCACTTCCGTCGACAGAGCCCTGAAGGCGCAGGGAAGCCCCTCTTGCACATCTGTGGCGCGGGCAGAAACCAGCACAATTCGCTTTACGCCTCAGAGTTCGGAGGAACATCGATGAGCCAAGGCTGATAAAGCATGCCGGGGCCTGAACGGCTGAATTTGAATGCTATCAAGGTCACCATATCTCGACTATGGTGCATGAACTCGTGCAACCACGCAGTGAATCTATTTCCCAGACTTTTCTGAAACCCAGCAATATAGCTTATTGCCATTTCCGACTGAAAGTACCAGTTAATAAAAGTTGCTGGGCATTAGGGTTTCTGGGTTGTGTTCATTCGCTGATACTAGAGTCCAGACCGCTGCACACTGGCAACAAACATCGCAAGCAAATGCAAGTCGAAACAAGGCGTCCTTACATGCCCGTAAAGAGCATCTCGTTAACTCATCAGTATTCGTTCGTAAGTATTGGGACTAGCGTCACCATGATTTGGGCGTTTGTGATTCTGGCTCTATCATCGGCCTCTGCCTTGCTAAGGGGGGCTCTTCATGCAACATTCGGGGATCTTTCCAGTACACGCATGTACTCACACGTGTATACATCTGTGACATATATGCACATGCTCATGTGCCAAAATACTGAAACAAACACAAACACATGTACAGGCACATGCATGTCTTATGATAGCACCGAGGCTGCAGCTCTCCGGCGCCCCTTCCATCAAGGCGGTGAGGCCCAAGCAGGCTTTGGCCTGTGAGGCGCGTGTTGATGGGGAGTCGCAGAAGTAGTAGCACCCCATCGAGCATCGCACTATTGAGACCAAACTGCATCAAAGTTCTCAACACTTACATGCACCTAAAAAAGAAAGGCAAGGGGCGGATCTTGGGGCCAATCAATGACAACTTCGTCGCCTTTCTGAATCACAGCTGAAGCTTGAAGCAAGCCAAGAAACACCCTTTGTGCTTTGCACAACTTAGCACGTGGTTGTGGTGGTTGTTGCCTGCTGTTGTTGTCGTCGTTGTTGGGGTTTTAGGATTGGAGTTACAGTAGGGCTGTGTTGGATTTCCCTCTTCTGCCTCCCAAGCACGAGAGTAAGTGGCACACGCAGGTTGCCAGTGCTGGCAGGACCGTCTCGATGGAGGCGGCCCAAACAGCCCTATTGAACAAAAATAAAATACACGTCAAAAAACGTTAAAAACAAGGTGAAATCAGGCTAGACTAGAGCCAGGTGCAACAACAAAAGTAACGAGAAGGGTTTTTAAACCGACAAATGTCGGTTACATCTTTAACACCTTTTTTCCGCCTCCTGTAAACGAAAATAACAGGGAGGCTCGCCCGCCAGACAGCCCGCTCGCTTGCCCCGGCTGGTGGGTGCAGAACAATCCGAGTCACGTGGCCTGTGACTTGTCTTCACTTTTTTTCTAACATGTTTTGAAACATGTTCGTGCCATTTTGTTTCTTTCACCCGGTTCTAGCATTGTTTCACATTGTTTTGTTTACCCTTTTTCTGCCTTTTTTCACCTTACCTTCATTTTATCGTGTATTTACCTTGATAATCTACGTTTGATTCAAAATGACATCTGCCTTTGTCTCCATGGGTCGGACCTCCTAATGCTAGTGGCAACCCCGGCCAAGACAAGACTGTGGCCTTGGTGTTCCACTCAAGGTTCAGGGCAGTGTGTTGGTTCCGTGGCTCCCGTTTCTGGATTCTAGAAACGATTCAAGGTCCCCAACTCATGAAGTCATCATGGAGCAGTGTGGGCTGTCACCGAGGTGTTGGCCTGAGCCATGTCCGAATACGGAGACCGTTTGGTGTTCGAAGCTCACTTCACGACTCTTCGAAGGGATGGGAAAGTGGGAAGAGACGACTGCAGCGTCCGAGCCGCAGATCGCCCGCCTGCAGCGCCGCATCCAGCTCGGACGGGCAGTGAACCTCGGGTAAGGGGGTGTTATCCAGAAGGGAGTTGAACCTTTAGAGTCTATGCTGAACGCTTCCTTGGCGCCTGGGGCACGGGACTATTTCTGTGCCTGGTTCTCAAATTCATTGGAAAGATGGTCAGATGCTTCGTGCTCTGTCGTGCACCGGCATCGCACTCCGAAGCGTGCGCGTGAAACGAAGAACAGCGGAGGGTCTTGGACCCCGCAGGAAAGAGCTCGCTCCCTCCCTTAAAGGGAGGGCTCAAAGAGAGCTCTAGGAATCCCCTTTTTGTTAGGCTTGAGCGGTCTGGCGGAGATCTGGCAAAGCCTGTTTCATCTCACCTCCTTGGCCTAGAGCTGGGGGTGCCAAGGTGTCGATGCCAGTGGAGGCCAGGTCCTGGAAGCCTTCGAAGGCCGCTTGGACCGACTCTTCGAGACGAGTCATGATCTGTTCCAGCTCCTCTTGATCCTCGACGATTCCCTCTTCCATCAACTTGCAATGGGAGTCTAGTGTTTCTTTGCTCTGCTTCAGCAAGCTCACGAAACTCCGCACCTGGTTCAGCACTCCCAAATGCAGAGTGTTCTTTTCGGATGCTACAAAGCTTTCACAGCCGTCCAACAAGAACTGAGCTGTACTTGCATCACATGCGATCTTCCGAAGCTCCAAGTTTTTCACGATGCCGAAGCCAGGATTCGCATCGGCAGTGGGCACCTCGACGCTCAGGTCCTCGATCTTCTTCCTGCTCACCATGTCTTACGCCGTACTGTAGGGCCGTAGGATTTCCAACACCACAGATCTTGGATTTAACTCCCAGCCATTTGCTGAACCAAACACTCACTACACAACACTGAAGCCGGAAACAATGCCCCACTAGCTAGACCACTGCAGAAGGCCCCCCCCCCCCCCCCCCCNNGCCCCCCCCCCCCCCTCCCCCGTGCCTGTTGAGTCGGATGGCTAAGCAGTGCAGTTTAGCTGCCTTCTCCATGGCTTCGCTGGCTTTCGCATTCTGCAAGAGGCCATCCATCAGGTCTTGGTAGGGGTTTCCCAGAAAGCAAGCCTTGTACTCACCCTCCCGAAATTGGTCCCTACGCCACTCGAGCTTGAAGAGGAACTCCTTCCAGGACCACCTCAGATCGTGAAGAATCCCAGCGGTTTCACCACATGAGTCTCGGATTTGGCAGAAGTGGTCGACTATGATGACAATCAGCAAGTTCATCAGAAGGAACATCATCATCAAAATGAAGAGCCAATACCAGATGGTTGATGTAATGGGAGCAACTTCATAGAGTGCATCGAAGTTCGCCGCGCCCATGAGCATCATCACCGCGCTGGCACAGCACTGAGGGTAGGTGGACCAGCCTTCTAACTCTGGGCCGAATAAAATCTTCCCTCCGACTGCAAAGTTGTTGAAGATGACCAGGAAGATCATCATGAAGTGCAAGACATCCCAGAAGCCGTCTGCTAAGGTGATCTGAATCATTGCTAGCTTGGCTTGCCCTAGGGATCCTTTGAGCATTCTGGCGGTGATGATTGAAGAGTACCAGAAGAGGCTCAGCTGGAAGTAGCCCCGCATCACCACGATGGCGTGGGCATCGTCGATGTTTTTGGACCATCTGCTCTGATAGGCGATCTCATCCAGGTCGCTGGCCTCGGACATTCATCCGGGCAAACCTAGCATAGTCTACCAAGCCTAACTCTTGAAAAACAAGTGGCTAACGGCGCTCGTGGAAGCTGCGAGACGCCCGTAGCCAAGACGGCAGTGAACTCCTGGGTAGGCGCAACCCCTCTTCGCAGATATTCTGACCTGGATGCCCTTCCAACAAGCCAATAGACAGACATGGCAGAAGAGTCCTGGATCCAGAGGGAGTAGACGGCGAGTGCAACACCGACCTGGGGCGCAGTGGACTTGCTCCGTGCGTTGCTGGGCTCGCAACAGATGACCATGATATCCGTTGTTCCACACACACACATATATATATATATACATACATGTGTGTAGATCTGTATTAAAACATTTTGTACATATATATATATAGAGAGAGAGAGAGGTGTTTGTTTGTGTATATATAAATGTAAATATAAGTACATACGAGACAAGACCCGCCGCTTCCATCGGCGGGCATTTCTGGCTATGCGAAGAGTTTCTAAGCGACGGACAATAATAAATGGTCAAATACCCGACAGAGACAAAGGGCCAGCACAAATACGGATTGGCATGCCGACAAATAGACAGCCGGAAACAGAGAGAGAGAGAGAGAGAGAGAGTCAGATCGACGGAGAGCGAAGGACAGCGAACAGACCGACACACAGACGGAGAGACAGAGAGCGAGCGAGAGAGAGAAAGACAGACAAACCGACGCGGCAGACAGACAGACGGAGAGACAGACAGACGGGCAGTCGGACAGACAAACAGGCGGACAGAATGACAGATGCACACACATAAGCACACATAGACAGAGAGAGACAGAGAGAGAGACAGATGGACAGAGAGAGAGCCCGATAGATAGACAAACAGACAGCAATGAACCTCCACCGACCATGAAGGGTAGAGGCGTGTCGCCATGTTCTCCCGAAAAGAAGTAATGTAGGAGCTTACTTGCCTGGCGTTTGTAAATCTCGCTATAATTTCCAATCAGCCTTTCTTCTCCCTGGCCCCAGTGAGAATGATTGAAGCGCGTGGTAAGCCGTGCGAATTTTCATTCAACAGTCCTCTGCTATGAAGCTCGCCCTGCTGACCCACACCTCTGGGGGCCCCTGCCTCGTAGGAACGCCACTCGAGAATTCAGAGCGAGTTGGAAACGCTACGTAGCTACTAGTTCGGAGAGTGCTCGCTGCTGCAGAGGTTTGCATGCAGTAGTGGCAGGAGAGGCTGAAGTACCTGTGCCGAGGTCGAAGGACGAAAAAGAATGAACTCAATGATTTTTCGGGCTGGACAGAGGTAATGAACTGTTGGGAACACGACAAATCCCGCGATTTGCGAATCGAACGAATCACCGCATAACCCGGGATCTGTTACACACAGAACCCTTTTGAACACCGGATATTTCAGGATTTTCGAGAGCTCGTCCCAGGTAGCAGACAGCATACTTAGCATACCTAGGACGGAATCAGGAAGGATTCCGTGCTACCATTAAGAGAAGACTTGAACGGGCTAACCAGCCCACGATTTTCGTGGTTTGGTGCGCGAGCAGCAACGTTTTATGGAGCAAACCAACAAGAAAATAAATGCACATGTACGTTTTTGTGTATGTATGTCTGTCTGTATGTAAGAATCTGTGTGTATATATATATATGCTTAACAGAGGCAGTCGCTTGTCGACAGATGTCTGGCGAATCCGAGTGCCGCGCTGCAATCGAAATCCAATCCACCAGGTTCCAGAAGTTCGAAAGGTAGGCTCCTAAGAACTGAGCTACTCTCAAGAGCACTGTTACAACCACTTCTGCGCCGCGTTTCTGACGGACGGCGTTGCTTCTTCTTTTGCTTGTTCCTCCTCTTCTTCTTCCAAGAACATGGACAACCAAACCCAACCTTTCGCAATGCCTGTGCCTGCGTGCACCGCAGAAGAGTCACAGAAGCTAAACAAATCGAACGCACATGTACTTACACACGCAGGCGTGTGCATACCGATCTTGGCCTGACAGACCGATCCCCACCCTGACTGACCTTGAAACTTTGCCGAAGAACCCACTCCCTCCCTCTCCGTATCTCTCTCCCACTTCTTCTGCTCATACAGGAGACCTTCAGAAACAGGAGGCCCCAATACAAACCCCGAAAGCTATTGAGCTAGCACAGGATCCTTAAGCAAAGGACTCCACAAAAGGAAGCCGTGCTTGCATGTCTTGGGCCTCGGTCAGACCCCCATGAGTGTACCTCAGAAGACCCCCCAAAAAAGGAGTCGACAGCTGATGCTATCCCGAAGGTCACTGCCCCGCAAAACTATGAGGGCATAGAGGAACGGCGTCAGCCTCAGGCCCTTCGTGGAGCAACTTCAAACCCTCATGCTTTCCACTTCGCCCTACCCCCAAAGAAATATAACAGGGCTGCTAGGGTGAAGATCGCCGAGGTTCGAAGATCGCGTCGAAAGGTCGCTTTCAGCACTTCCCAGAGCTCTTGCCTCAGGAGCAGCAAAATCATAACCTGAGTTGTCGGGTTCATTGGCCAAGAATTTGCTGGCCTTCAGTCTTGGACCGAACCACAGAGGCCAAAGCTAATACATTCAGCTACCAAGTAGCAAGCCAGAAGATTTCCGGAAGGAAGTCCATAACAGATGCTTGTCCTGGAACAGCACGGAAGACATGGCTTCTCACTGTCTTGGTGATACCGCCATCGTTCAACCACTCGAAGGCAATAGACAAGATCACGAAAGACCCACTCTCGCCATTGAGCATGAGGGCCTCTATCTGCAGGGACGTGGAAGCTTCGGTTAGCCATCCAACTCGTCGCAACTGCGTAGCTGTCTCAAGCGCATTGCTTAGAGGCCTCTCGACATCGAAATGTGCGTCGTAAGCCCCGTCGGTAGAGGTGCTCGACAGGAAAGCGTTCCGGACACCAATGGGCAATTGGTCGACGATGGTAAAATTCGCGTCGGCAAGCGGGCCGAAAGGATCCATGGCCATCTCAGCACTGCGGCAAAGGACGGTGTACCAGGACTGAAGGGCAGCTGGAAGATTGCAGTTTCCCACATCCAAGTTGGCTCGGCGCTGCCTAGCACGGAGACCACCCACCACCAAGTTTCGATTTAAAATCAATCCCGGACGCCGGATCACCTTCCCCGCAACGGTGCCCCAGACATTGGGCAAGAGTCCATGTTCCAGCCAAACCATCACATCTTCGGCTGTTCGGATGCGACTCCAAGTCATAGGCTCCATGTCCTGGGATCCGAGCGGGTAAAAGCCCCCAGCGGCTGCTACCAGCCTCTCGGCAGTGTCTCCTGGAAGCCTCCCCAGAAATTCGAAACCTTCCGTCTGGCCGTCGTCTGTGCAAGAGCTCGCCGGAAATCCTCCAATGTGGCGGCAGCCGCAGCGGCAGGGCCTCAGTTGCGCAAAGCAAACCGCAAGGCACAGCGGCACAGCGCACGTGGCCGAAGCCTTCAGCTGAGGACGCGGCATGTTGGATTCTGCCGGTGTGCGCAAGCGAACGCCACTGATGCCAGGATGTGACATGATCCCCTCCACATAACTGACCACGGCCTCTTGGACTTTGTACGCTTGGTTGACGTTTGATCTGACAATGGCCAGGTAGGCGAAGATTAACCAAAGCACGGCCGTGAAGGTTAGTCTGCAGAGACTTTGCCTCCACCTGCACAGCCAGTCAATTCAACATCCTGGACTCCCAAGAAACCATACACTGCACACGCTGCAAAACTGGTCGTCTTCGCTCTGTGCAAACATTCGCTTCTAGGTCCTAGACGTTGCACGTCTGGCTTGCTAAGATGTTGCGAAGCTCAGTGCCCGGCCACTCGCGCTGGTTCAGGTACTCGATCATTTGAAAGCGAGTGACGCCCTTCGTGTCCTCCTCCACAGCCGGAGCATTCTCGAAGTCAGACAGGTCACCACCCAGGTCACCGAGGTCATCCCCTAAATCCCCTAAATCGCCGAAGTCGTCATCAAGTCCATCTGGCAGCTGAAGGTCATCTTCCGCGCTCATCCCCTCACAACCCGGACGAGCCGGAAAAGCGAGGGGCCTCCAATCTTATCATTCTGCATGCTAGCCCGGCTGCGGCATTCACATTCAACATGACACTACCCGTCACTGCCATGCCGGTCACCGCAACAAAAACCTGCTGCCTGGAGGCAGGACAAAACATACATGTCGAGGATCCTATACAACTGTTGGGCTCTGGTTTTCCGCTGAAACTCGCGTCAACTCGCGCAAGCACTCGAAGTCATAGAACTCTCTCCCTTCTGGATGCCAAACTCTTTGGCCCCGGGAGAAAAATGCGAAAGAGAGCAGAGCTGAGGGCTCCGAGAGCCCAGCGGCCACCGCGCTGCAGCCGCTGAGCCTGGCAGAGCGCTACGCGGACACGAGACGAGAGAGAGATGCCGTGAGATATCAGACAGAGACAGAGAGAGACAGAGAGAGAGAGAGAGGTAGGTAGGCAGGTTGGGAGGTAGGTAAGTAGGTCGGTAGGTAAGTAGCTAGCTAGCTAGCTAGCTAGCTAGCTAGCCAGCTTGGTAGCTTCGTAGCTGGGCAGATGGATAGATAGATACAGATGCAGGAAGAGAGCAAAGGGCATCCTTCGATGTCCTTTTCTGAGGGCTGCTTCGGGGTGTCGTTCGCAAGGCTTGTTTCGAGCCGGAGTGTGTGGTTGGCTGACCCTAAACCCTCCAGGTACCTACTATTTAGGGTACTAAAGCCCCTAAGGCCCTATGTAGTAGGTACCTGGAGGGTTAGGGTGAACTCAACGGAGTATTTTGTTAGCTGAGCAAACTGGTGGTGGGAGCAGCAAGGAGCCTGCCCATGAAATCCCCCAAACTTCAACAACACCCTCGAACTCGACATGATTTTGGAATCACTGCTTTTTCCCTCAGTTTCAAGGAAGGACCCAAACGCAAGAGAAGCAACTTCCCGCCTCTCGCCGAAATCCTGGCCGGCTATGCGGAACCCGGCTCTGGCCCCACAGGCTCATGCAGGACATGTTGGAGGACGCGGACTGTTTGGGACTGTTTGGGAAGAAGGAACTCCGAGCAAACTGGCATTTCTCCCAAGCTGAGGCGGTGTCTACGCTGCTCGGTGCAGATATATGTATTTGCGAATGCGGATGTATGTCTATATATATATATATATGTATATACATATGATTTGTATCTTTGTATGCACAACGCTCACACGCTTATGAGGCTGCGTTGCATGCAGTACTCAGGTTGTGTTCATTACAACACTACGCACACGACGTGCCTCGGCCGACAGCCCGTGCCTCAGTCGGCGAATCAGTGGACAAGCAAGCAAATTCTCAGTTTGTCGTAAGCAATTTGCCGAGTCAAAAAGTACGGCGGCTCCGCGTAGTGCTTAAGACACTTTGCTTGAGAGCTATAACCTGCATGCGCCAGCCGCACATTGAAAGGTAATGTGTGCACATGTGGTACTTTGATTAGTTGCAGTCGCACACAACGATCGAAGATCTTTGTTCCCAGCTAGGTTCGCGTTTCACATCAGACTTTAGAGGCTGCGAGAGCGGAAATTAATCCGTTGGTGACGTGCTGCCTGGCAACCATCGACGTCGGCAAATGCAATTCTGTAAATTTCTCTGGCTGCTTCTGTTTGTAAACGTTGCAAAGAAACAGTGACACGCAAAGCTGCACGAGTCTTGCATACTTTGAAAGAAGGCCACCGGCCATTAAGAGTGCAAAGCGATGATGCTAGAAACCATGCACGCCCGGGTTTTGACCGTGCCGTCTAATACCGAGCTATCTCGCACGAAAGCTCCAGTGAACCTTGCTTGAACTTCACATCAAGGCACAGAATGCGAAGCAGCACGGCTTCTGAGGCAAGACTGCCAACTACAGTTTCGGTGGTTGCAGAACTTCAGAAAATAAGGCACTCCCCTCAAGAACCAGAGTTTCTACATACATATATATATATATATATATACATGTGTATAAAATGAGTAGTTTTATATCCGCCGACGCCGCTGGGTCTGTGTCAGGAGGGTGGCGACAGCCGTTCCGGTTCTCTGCAGTTTGTGTTTAGTTATTTAAGCCCCGCCTCCCTCACCCCCATTGGCCTCCACCACCTTCCCTCCTCCATTTCCCCTCGCTGGGTAGGTTCTTACTAAGAATAAATTTGTGCTCGTTCCACCCCTCCAGTACCCTCACCCGCCCCAGTACCCCCGTCAACACCCTTATCATCCCCGTCCCCTTCTTTCCTAGGTTCTGATCTGATTAAGAATAAGGAGTATATTGATCCCTCCACAGCCACCCTCACCCGCCCCCATCAAGCGCCTGATCCCCACCCACCTTTTTGATCTCTGTGTAGGTTCTTCTGAAGAATACAAACTTCATTCGTCGGGGCGGGGTGATCAGGGGGGCGAGTGCACACATGGGTGGTGTGGGTGTCCTGCCGACCATGCCGGCCCGTGCCACCCAGCCCTACCACACATATGTATGTATGGATGTATAAGTGTATGTATGTACGTAAGCATGTATACTGTATACTGTATACACTGTAAACGCATTGTATACATAAGGGCCCTGAAGAGGAGGATCCAACATACCTACTGTTCTGAACCCTCCTGCAGGGACCCGACATCTCGTTCGGGTCCAGGGCTTCTCGGATGACCTGGAACTTCTTTGGGAGTTTCTGCTAGTTACTCAATTCAAAAGGATTCCTAATGCTAAACGTTAGTGTGAATCGGGCATTCGACTATCTGATGCTGTGAAGGCTTACAAAGCAAAAGTGTAGTGCATTCCGCTTCGAGGGTTATGAGCCCAACGCTCGTGTAAAACCTTCAGTCATGGCGGCCCCAGTGGATGAGGGTGAAGGGGGAGGACTGGAGGGTTTAGGAGATGCTCTACGAGGTGAAGCTTTGGAGGAGGAGACGGCGCGGCACCTTCAAGAAGTTCGTGTGGACGACCAGCAGCAGGAGCCCCAGTATGAGGTTACTGAACGCGGAGCTGTTTCGATGGAAGGACCAGTTGCGGAGCACGGAAGCCAGGGAAATCAAGTGGAGTCTTCTGCTCTGCAGCAAGATTCCACCTCTGATAGGCAGCCCGCACCGGTTTCTTCGACGGAGCAGCGAGAAGGTGGTGCCGCTTCAGCGCGTGCGAGATCGGTGGAGCGAAGAGAAGAGGACGTGAGTCAGATCTCGAGATCGCTGAACTTCATGACGGGTCTGCTGAGCACACTCGTTGGAAGGGTGGACAGAATGGAGCAGTGGCAGTCGGCCAGCGGATCCCTCGGCGGTCGTGCTCCTATGAGTACGGAGGAGGGTTCGCAACCTACCCCGTCGGCTATGACGCCGGCAACTGCCCCTTCTGGACATCCTGGTATCTTGAGGGCTGAGGAGATGAATCGACTACAGCAGCAGCTGAATCAGATGTCTTTGGGACAGGCCGAAGGCGGGTTCGAGTTCGAGAGACCTTTGGCGTCTTTGGAAAAGGTGATGGCCGGAACCTTCAGCAGTGACGACAGTGAGACAGCGCGTCGAAGAGCGGCTGAGGGAGAGCGCGGGGTACCAGGGCGTCTTCTGGGCCCGTTAGCGGAGTCAAACTGGCCCTTGCTTTTGTCTGGGGACCCGTCGGCTACCTCTCCAGCTGGTACTGAGTCGCAAAGGATGTCCTCACTTCAGCAGGCAATGGAGTTGCAAAGAATGCCATCACTTCAGCAGGCTATGGAGTCTCAAAGAATGTCATCACTTCAGCAGGCTATGGAGTCGCAAAGAATGTCATCACTTCAGCAGGCTATGGAGTCGCAAAGAATGTCATCACTTCAGCAGGCTATGGAGTCGCAAAGAATGTCAATCCTTCAGCAGGCTATGAAGTCGCAGAGAATGCCATCACTCCAGCAGGCTATGGAGTCTCAGAGAATGTCAACACTTCAGCAGGCTATGGAGTCCCAACGAATGCCGGCACTACAGCAAGGGGGGGTGAACAGTGGCAATCCCCAGTCACTTGGTGCCTTAGTTGATGTCGCAGCGGCTTCTACTCAGCAGGCCTTGGGAGCAGTGGAGCTGAGGGCGGAGCAGGATGATCCACCTGGACTTTGCGGAGGAAAAGGCTTTGGGGTGGTGGAGTCAGAGAAGCAGACCGCTACTACAGCGGTAGCGGTGCCTTCACTTCCTAGTCCTACCAGGCCCCTGACTACCGAGGCTAGATCTAGTCTGCCGAGTACATTGCCTATGACGGGCTCTGGGGTGGCTTCCATGGCGGCTGAAAAGAAGTATGAAGCCTTGCAAGGGTCGCCGGTGTCGGTGGCGGCTCTGTGTCCTCCGGTGAGTGGCGAAGGCAGCTGCGGAGGAGGACTCGTGATGAATGCTCCTTCGAGCGGCTTGGTTATGGTGGATGGGGTTTGGAGAGAGTACCATATGGTTCGTGGGCAAATGGTGGTGCAGCCATTGCCGAAGGACAGCGGTGGAGCTGGACTTCAGACCATGGGCGGCAGCAGCAGTGGAAATGGCGCAGCTGCAGGAGGAATACCGCCTCCTCCTCCGAACCCTCCTACGACACCGAAAGCATCAGCGTCGGGGTGGAACTTGAATCAGACGCCGGGGGGGACTCCCATTCCTCCACCGCCTACTACAACCCCATTGACGACTTCCTCTACTACCAGCGCGACTTTTGACGAGGTCGAGGAGCCTTCGAAGCTGGTGACGAAGCTTCCGGCTCTTCAGTCGGCTAAAGGTGGAGATGCGGCGGTGGTGGCTGGAGATTGGCTGGCTCAACTGGAGCCCAGCATGAGCTCTTTGTCCCCGACGGCGACTAAGTGGTGGTCGGCTCTTATGGGAAGGGTCAAGGACTTGTATGGTCTGTGGCTGGAAAGTGCTCCCGTGGCCAGGCTAACGATACGTCAGCAGGTTCTCTCACGACGGCCTCCTCCTGACCGACATCATCGGGTGGAGCAGCGGGCGGCTATGTTGCTTTTGGATGCGCTGCCCGAGGAGCTTCGACACGAGGCAATCAGCGCCCGCGCGGTCACGGCGGAGTCGATGGTGTTCATGGTGCACTGCGCGTATCAGCCGGGCGGAGCAGGAGAGAAGGCACACTTGTTGCAGTTTCTTACGGTCCCTGAGACGGGCAGCGGCTTGGAGAACACCTTGAACCTGGCACGAAAGTGGATCAGACTTTTCAGGCGAGGACGCGAACTACAGGTGGTGCTGCCAGATCCAAGCTTGTTGTGCCGTGGTTTGGACAAGCTGGTGAGTGCTACCTTTTCAGGAGCTGGCAACAAGTACCCCTCGGCCTCGTTCAGGATTGCCTCCTTCAAGTTGGATCGTCAGCTTGAGTACCGGGCCACGGCTGTGGATATTGAGGACTATGCCTACCTGATCTTGGGAGAGCTTGAAGCTGCTCAGTTGGCGCAGCCTCTTCATGCTCCGCCAAAGGTTGCTCGGATGGACGATCATGCGGGGGCGCCGTCCGATGGGGTGGAAAAGGGCAAAGGCAAGGCCAAAGGAAAAAAACCCTGTTGGGGCTGGCAAGACGGCACCGGATGCCGCTATGGTGCGGGGTGTATGTTTCTTCATGCCCCCCTTGGCCCTGGACGATGTTGGGAGTGTGGCTCGGAGTCCCACCTGAAGCCGCAGTGCCCGTTGCTCGGGCAAGGGGGGAAGGCTTCTGGGTCTGGTAAAGGCGGCGGAGCAGGAGCAACAGCGCAGCCAAGTTCCGGTGCAGGAGTGGCAAACAATGGTGGTGCGGGGACGCAAAATTCTTCTTCGACTTCGGCGGCCACGTGTGGAACAGCTGGGACAGGGGAGGACAAGCCCCCAAGGAAGAATCGTCGAAAGGGAGGAGGGAAGGATCGCCAAAAGGAGGCGGTGAGAAAAACGGAGGAGGAAGCTGCTGCGGAGGACTCGGCTCGCGCTACGGCTCCTACGGTGGGCAATGAGGACACCTCGGCCAGGACGGAGTTCTTTGAGGAGGCGACGAAAGCTTTGAAGTCGTTGAGGCTGGCCAAGATGACGATGAAGTCGCTTCAGAGCTCCTCGGGCGGTGGCGGAAGAGCTTTGGTGGATTCTGGGGCTACCACGTCGATGAGAACCGCTCGTGGAAACGAGGAGAAAGGGCTTCCTTTGCGGACTGTATTGCTAGCCGAGGGCGAGACTACGTTCTACCAGTTGCCGGGAGGAACCTTGCTCACCACCAAGGAGACCGCCCCGATCATCGCGATGAACGACCTAATGGAGGTGGGCTGCCGTGTGACATGGTGTAGCAGCGAAGGGTGTTCCGTGGTACATCCTGTCAAGGGCGACCTGGGTGTGCGCGTTGTGCATGGCTGTCCTGAAGTGGACGAGGCAGTTGGTTTGGATCTGATTGCCGAGGCGGAAGCGACCAAGCTTCGGAGACGAGAGGCCGAGTTGGCCGTCAATCGTCTTGTTGAAGGCTGCGAGCGGACGAGGCTTGGGGTTCGGAAGCTGGACTGGGAGTTGGGCGCCAAGGCTACCAAGGAGCTCTACGATGGCGTGGGACTGTCGTGGGCCTGGCTCCACAGAACCTTTCCTGAGGCTCCGTCGTGGTTGGTGTCGGCTGTACCGGTGGTGGCCGGAACGGATGGCAACCGGGTTCCGTGGAACCGCCATGAGAGAAAGAAGTGGAGGAAGGCATCGGCTGTGGCAGTCCACTTGTTTTGTGGGCGAGATCGGGCTACGTGGAAGTCGAGGGCGGAGGTAGCCCATGTGGTGACGGTGGACCAGGCCGAGGACGTGATGGCGGACGCAACCTACGCGGCTTTGTTGGATCTGGCGCTCTCTGGCAAGATCAAGACTGTGTTTGGGGGTCCTCCTTGCAGGACCTTCTCGGCACTTCGTAACCTCCCGGTTACCGTGGGTGAAGGACCCCGTCCTCTTCGGGATCGTGAAGGTGATGGAAGATGGGGTCGTGATGGCCTATGTGAATGGGAGACCTGGAGGACGCGTCAGGATACCATCATGATTTTCCGGATGCTTTTCCTGTGGATGGTGGCTGCTTCCGTAGCCAGGGCGAATGGGGACCGCGAGCCCGACTTCCTTCTAGAACACCCTGAAGATCCTCGCGAGTTCCTCCAGGGTGAAAACATGACGTCGCTGTGGGCCTTCCCGGAGATCCAGTTCTTGAAGGATGAAATGAAGTGGTATTGGTGGCAATTTGATCAAGGGCCACTGGGGCATCCTCGTCGGAAGCCTACGCGGATCCTCGCCTCCATGCCGTGCCCTAAGGAGCTGTGGAAGGTAAGGGGGCCCTCTTCAGTGACTGAAGACGAACGAGATCGTGACGGCGATGGTTTCCGATCGGCGACATGGGCGGCCTGGGCTCCGGGGCTAAAGCAAGCTGTCAAGCGAGTTGTGGAAGAGAGCCTCGCCGGCTCTACCTTGGAAAGGATCATGAAGTTGGACCAGGCGTTCTTGGATCATCTTCGTCGGGACCATACGCCTTTCCGACGTGATTGCAAGGCTTGTTTGGCGGGGTCCTTTCGTGGCCATGCTCACCGGCGTATCGTAGCCCCGGAGGCCTGGTGCTTGAGTTTGGATGTTGTTGGTCCTACCCGAAATGGCATGGATGAGTATGTGAAGAAGATCCGCTATGCCTTGATTGGTACTTTGGTGGTTCCAGACATGCTGGGAAAGCTTCTTCAGCCTCCAGATGATGGTATTGATGATGGAGGTGGAGTTGGGCCACTGGAGGGGGATGATCCTATTTGTGAGGATGGGGATCAGGCGGATGATGAGGGCGACGAGGCCCCTGCGGTGGAGGAGGAGCGAAGTCGTCGTGAGTTGGAGCGGTGGAAAGCTCGGGTGGAGAAAGACAAGCTCGAGGGTGTGTCCTGCGTTGAAGTTCCCTTTGTTGTGACCATGGGCTCCAAGTCTTCGGCGGAGGTGCTGGCCGCTACGAAGGACATTTTGGTTCAGGTGAAGAAGCTTGGGTTGGTGGTACAGCGTATTCACTCTGACCGCGGTCGGGAGTTCATCAACAAAGGCTTTCGAGCTCTATGTCGAGATCGCAGCATCGTGCGGACTACTACGCCGGGCGACGACTATAGAGCGAACGGTCGTGTGGAAGCTTTGGTGGGAAGAGCTAAGAACGCCGTTCGGACCTACTTGTCGGCCTCGGGCTTGGGTGTGGATATGTGGGGGTTTGCGATGCGTCACTATGTGTCTCGGATCCAGTACCACGTGGTGACTCAGCTTGGGGGACGCCTTCCTCGACTACCTCCTTTTGGAACAAAGGTGTTTGTGAAGCAGCGGTCGTGGAAGCTCAAAAAGGAGGAGTTTGTGGAGAAGGTGGTGGCAGCAAGGATGTTGTGCCCTTCTATGGACGTGGCGAGGGGCTTTCTGGTTCGCACGGGAGAGGGCAGTTACCTGACCACCATGGCGGCGGTTGAGAACGTCAAGGAGGTCTCGGGCGAGTTCGTGGTGGATGCTCCTCCTGCACGTGCTGATGAACCTGGGGTTCGGAGGAGGCTACGAGGGAAGGTGGCCATTGCAAGGGCGGAGTTGAGTATGGAAGAACAAGCTTTGAAGTGTGAGCAGCTGGATGATGAGCACCTCATTCAGGATGAGGAGCTGGCGGCGATCTTCCTGGAGGCGGGCGACTACTCTATGTCGGCGGTGGAAGAGCTGCTAGAAGGCTTGTGGCTCAGCGAGCACCGTGTTCCCGGTCGTCGAGCGGAAGTGTTTGATGGGGCGTCTCAAGTGTCGGTGCATGTGCTTGGGATGTATCGCCACGGAGGAGTGGTTGGAGCGACTACCTTGGCGCGGACACGGCCCTTTCTGACCAAGTTTCTCACGGCTGCGGTAAAGGAGCACGCGGGCCCCGACACTACCTTCACCACGCTGTCTATCAACTTCAACACCCCGATGCAATGCCATAAAGATCAGAACAACAAGGCTGGTGAGACCGCGACGCTTATGGGCTTTGGCAACTATGTTGGAGGAGGACTGTGGTGCCACCGTCCAATGGGTGATGTGAAGGAGAATGTTAGTTGGCACAAGGTCAGCGGCAAGTGGCTTCCAGGACATCGCCACGCCACTTACCACAAGGCCGTTGTTTTCGACCCATGCCAACTTCATCAACCCCTCCCATGGCACGGCAATCGCATCACTTTGACAGCTTACACGGCTGGCTGTCCAGACAACTGCAACAAACAGCATCGTGATCTACTACAAGATCTTGGTTTCCCGATACCCCCACCAGGAGTTCCGGCTTTGTCGCCAGAAGGAGGAGAGAGTGGTGGTGGGCACGGCAAAGCAGATCAGGAAGCGTTGCGTTTTTTGTCTGGATGTCAGGGACCGGGGGAGAACTTGAACTCGGAATCTTGCGATGGCGTTGCTCGTGGGGGTCCTTTTTCAGATGGATGTCAGGGACCGGGGGAGAACTTGAAGTCGGAATCTTACGATGGCGTTGCTCGTGGGGGTCACTGCAGTTGCAAAGGATGGGAAGTGGATCCGTCACTGTGTCTTTGTTGTCTGCCTGGTGGAGGCGCAGATCAGTTCTACATTGGGGACGACGAGAACGAGGAGATCTCAGAGGATCCGTGGCTTCAGGAGTCGTGGGGCGCATTCGGTCCTCCCGTGGCGGCCGTGTTGAAGGCCGTGGTTCCTGATGAGGAGGTGTGCTATGAGATTGTCGCGTCAGAGACTCCCTTGGAGGTGGGTTGGGATCTTTTCGAGGGCTACTTGGATGGTGTCCGCTGCTTGCTGGTTGAGGAGGAGAACTGGGAGCGAGCCCTAGCGGAGGATCCAGATTGCGGTGATCGAGCTGATGGTCATGCAAAGCGGTGGAAGTCCAGTAGGGAGGATTTGGAGCTGGACATGGAGCGCTGGCAGAAACATGAAAGTTGGGAAGAGGATCGGGTGTGCGTGGCGGAGTTGGTGGACGGCGACAGCGATGCTCCGCTGCATACCAAAACCATCCCCAATGAGGTGGTGAGAAAGGAGCTTGAACGCTGGGTGCCCAGTATGCTGTCTGAGTACGAGAGCTTGATTCGGGAGAATGACGCCGTGGAGCCCTTCCCAGAGGAGAAGCTGGAGCAGTGGAAACGCGAGGGTAAGGACTTCGACCTGGTGCCGGGGAAAACTGTGCACACGGTGAAGGCTTTCACTGGACGGCTCAAGACTCGGGCTGTTATTTGTGGAAACTTTCTGGGTCAGAGCTTCTCGAAGGACCAGAAGTACGCAGCCGGAGCTGACGGTGTCCTCACCAGGATTCTGTTACGAATGGTGGCCCTGATGGCATGGAGTGTTTGTGTGATGGATGTACGCACCGCCTTCTTGCTGGCTCCCTTGCTGTTCCAAGAAGATCGTCCTACGTTGGTCCAGGTGCCGAAGATGTTCTTGATGGGGGGCGTGTGCAAGGAGACCGTTTGGCGCGTGAAGCGGGCCTTGTATGGGATGGTCACTTCCCCTCGCTCATGGGAGGTGTATCGGAACAAGACGATGGCTCAGATGAAGGGAGCCACTCCTGAGGGTGAAGTTCGTTTCGTGCCTTCCGAGATCGATGGGAGCCTTTGGTATGTTGTGGTGGGCACTCGTCGAGCCGGTGCTATCTTATGCTATGTGGATGACCTCCTGATTGCAGGCGAGCCAGGTGTGGCCAAGGAAGCAGCTCGGATGATAGCTAGCACCTGGAAGTGCACGCCTCCTCAGTGGGACGACGTGGCCTTCAATGGTTTTGAGATCCGTCGCTCCGACCAGGGCCTCACCTTGCGGCAGGACAGCTACACCAAGGACTTGTTGGCTAGGTACAAAGACTTGGAGGGCTACGAGGAAGTCCCAGCGCCCACCCAGTTGAACTCGGAGGACTTTGAGTTGAAGGACGATGAGAATGCGGCGGACTTCGTGAAGACTGCTCAAACCATGGCGGGTGAGCTTCAATGGTTGGCGGGCAGGTGTCGGCCCGAGATCCTCTACGCAGTGAACCTTTTGTCTCAGGCCATCAGTAAGCGTCCAAAGGAGGCGGTCTACCGTGGCGGACATTTGATCAAGTATCTCAAGCGATACCCTGAAGGAGGCCTTTTCTATGCCTGCAAACCTCAGCTTACACCCGATGCACAGGTTTCCTCAGCTGGTGTGGTTATCGAGGGTTTCTGTGATGCAAGCTTTGCCCCGAATTCGGGGCGAAGCCAACAGGCGATCATGGTGTTTGTCCTGGGTGGCTTGGTGGCGTGGACCAGCAGCCGTCAGGCTTTCGTCACGATGTCCACTGCGGAGAGTGAACTCGTAGCGATATGTGAGCTTACTACGTGTATGAAGTCAATGGAGCACTTGGTGGCGGAGATCATGCTTTCTTCGAAGACCCGGGTTCGGGAAGTGATCAAGGCGATTTGCTCGGACAGTCAGGCGGCACTGGCAGTGTGCCGCTGTGCCGCAGGCAGCTGGCGTACCAGACATTTGCGGATCAGGGGCAACATGATCCGGGAGCTCCTCGAGCAGCCAGATTGGCTGGCGTTTCATGTGGACGGCCGAATCATGATTGCTGATCTGGGAACTAAAGCCCTGCCAGCAGATCGATTTGGTTTCCTTCTGGATCGGATGAGAGTCGTTCGGAAGCGTTACAGCAGCACCGGAAAGTCAGTCGACCCGGCGCAGGCCAAGAAGTTGATCGTGCTGCTATGTCTAGCTTCGGTTGTGGACCGAGCAGAGGCTGCGGAGATCGAGCCCCAGGAATCCGTCGATTACGTGTTCCTTGGACTCTGCGTGGTGGCGATCATTGCTGTGTGGGAGTGTGTGAAAGCGGCTGTGGAGCACCTCAAGCAGTGCTGCAGAAGTACGGGAGAGAGTCGGCGGGCAGAGGGGCGCGGTAGGTCCACTGCTCGATCGGGAGCAGCGGACCTTACTCGTTCAGACTCACCCGGGGACTCCTCTTTGGAACCTGCGGGGCTGCGCTACCGAGCGACCCTGTCTACCGGGAAACGGAGGCCACCTACACCTCCAGTTCCTGAACCACTTCGCGATGAGTGGTTCCCTACAAGCACGCACGACTTTGAGATGCCAAGTGGCAAGCGAGACTACTGGCAGGTTGATGAGGGACGCGGGATTGCCGTTCGTTACCACCCCACGCCCCGACTCAACCTGTTCGTTCCTGGACAAGCTGCGGGAGGACCGCCGCTGAATCGCTTCACCGGAGAGAGGCGAACTCTAGGTCGCTTGAACTCAGGCCAAGTGCTGGTTCATGTTGATGATTTCACGCGGCTTAGCAAGCCAGCACAGCTCTTAGCGAGCAAAGAGTGGAAGGGGCGAACTGAGCTACGCTTGAAGAAGCGTGAGTGAGCCCCCTTTTTCAGTTGTGGAGAAGCCTTGAGTCTATGCAAGATCCGTAAGAAGTCTTGCTGAGCAGTGGAGCTGCTCTCTTTTGGATATGCCCGTGTACCTCTTGTGCAGTTTGACCTAGGTCAAAGGGGGAGTGTGAATCGGGCATTCGACTATCTGATGCTGTGAAGGCTTACAAAGCAAAAGTGTAGTGCATTCCGCTTCGAGGTTAGGTCCCCATTTGGCCATTTGGAATCCTCAACTGGGGTGCCTTCTGTTTCGAGCGGATCTATAAGACAATGAATCGGCAAGTCAAGGAAGCCGCTGTAGACCAAAATGTCTTGGGCGCTCAAACTCGCGCCGCACCTCCCCCATTCTCGCTTGCAGAGCCTCTCGAAGTGTGGCCTCGATGCAGGAGGTGAGAGCAGGGACCGGCAGCAAAGAATCGCGCAGAACAATGAAGCATCCTGATGCAAGGCTCATGAAAAGGCCGATGGATCTCTGCTCCTGGCAGGACCGGGTTCGTCTTGACCTCAGGGTCCCGCAAAGGCAAAGCTAAGATCGGCCCTTACGGCAAAATCCCGGGTAGGATCCTCAGAAGGCTCTGAGCTGGCAACTGAGCCAACAAAGTACGGCCTGAGCACCGGCCTTTGCAAGGAGCATGCAAAAAAGCTCTGCAAAACGCATCACGTGCCGGGCCCATTCTTGAGATATGCCCGGCAACGTAGGAGGGAAACTTCAGGGCCAAACACAAACACGTAGGGATCCTTACAGAATGACCCGGAAAGAAGACTAAGGAGGCAGGGAGAGACTTCTCTGCCTGCGGTCTCTGCGTTCCCTGGGCGTCCGGACGGGCTCGGGGAGCAGCTGGCGCTCCTGCCGAGGCCGGGAAAGGGAGGGGGCGGCTCCATTTCGCAGACAGGGGCCCCTGCTTAAGGAATCTGCACTCTCTGGTGCTCGTGGGGTGCAGGAGCTTCGCCCTTTGCAGTCCTTGGGAGTCTCAGCCGTCAAGTCGATGCCTCGAGAGCGCAGAAGGCTACGAGGCGTTTTGAAGGCAGAGGGCTACAGGGCTTCGTCTTGCTTTAATGCGACTTTAAGCGACTCGGTGCCGAACCCAAGGCTTTGATGGCCTCGTCGGCTTTGCGCAGCGTCTCCTGGCATCCAGAGGAGTGCCACACAGGACTACTATTTTGGGTTACCACTACGACCTCGTGCAAGTATCTACATTTCAGGCAAGCGAGTCTTCATACATCGCATGCCGTATGCACACGGATGTGCACGTTGCACGTGAATGACATGTTGATCTGCATGCAAATATGAGATAGCAGCGACGAGACGGACGTGGGATCCAAGCTGAGCCCCATGCCTCTGCCCTCAGCGCACGCTCCTTGTTGAGGCGCCTCAGTCTGCGATGAGCTGCTGCGCTGCACTGCGCCGCACCGCGCCGCATGAGTACATGCTTGATTGCACAAGTACGTGCGTACGTACGTCCCACACCCCCTCCGGAAACAAAACGCATTCTCGGGGAGGGGTAGGAAAGTCCGTGCCTGGCTTGCCTACATCGGCTTTCCTTATGAACTGGACCGCGGTCTTGTTCAGGAACTTAAGCCACGGTTACAAGGGACACGCCGCAGTGTATTGCCGCATATCTGAATTATGGGTGCAACGTAATGAACAAACAGGATGACCGTAAGACTGAATTTAATTAGGCTAGCAACCGTGCAATGGCTCGGAGGATTCGCGCACAAAGCTGTTCCGATCGCGATGTTGTGCTCTGAGCTCCGGACACTTCTGGAGGCAGCCGCGCATTCAACGACTTCCTTGGATGGCTCGTCAATTCGAGGAACTACACCGAAAACGGGCCTTTCTTCAGGATCTATATTGGCGCCCGATAGCTTCCGAATCTCTTACTATGCTAATGATACACCCGGAGCATGCAAGGATGTACACATGTTCACAGTGACATATTCAATCTGGCGCCATATTTTCCTTGGATCGCAGGGTCGTCACATGAAACGAAGCTCCTTTGAATTGGCGAGATGCCAAGGCGATAAGAGGCACTGCGTTCAGTGACCCATCCGGGGAGCTATTGTAGAGTTCCAAAGTACGCAGAGCTGACCATCTAAAGGCTCTTGACCCCATGTGCAGAGTTTGCATAAGTAGTCTTTATTGTGCAGTGTTCTTGAGCAGATAGCTGAGGGGCTGGGTTCCGGTGACATGCCGGGAGTGGCATAGCCAAGCCGGGTGAAACCTGTGCATTGGATCTCAGATCGCATTGTCTCTGCCCACATGAGCCCGCATAGACAGCTCTGCGGGAATAGTCGGCGTGGGACTCAACTGAGGGTCCTCAACCTGTGTGACGGAAGATCCGAAAACAAAGTTGCTCACTTCTTTCTTCACCTCCGTGTCACCCTCCTGTGCCACGAAGCTGCGGAAGACCGCCCCACCACCTGCACATCCCACTTTCGTACTACTAGTCTTCTTCTAAAGCAACCTTCGCTGGGGCGCGGATTCAGGGCAACAGGTCTCAACGGGCTACAGGGAGCACGGGTGAATGAAAACAGCTTCGCACAGGAGCGGCTACTGCGGCAGCAGCCTTCGGAGTAGGACGTGTCATCAGAGGACTCGGCAGAGGAGGAGACTGAACTGTCTTCCAGCTCTTGGTCCTTTTCTGTACGCCTTAGAAGAGCACATGTCCAAAAAACAAATTCTCTTCTCTCGCTCTGTGGTTCCTAATTCTGGACTCGCTTTCACTTCCCTGCTGGAGAGTAGTTACATTTCCTCCCTGCCGTGTGCAGATTCAATTCCTTTCACACTCGGACCTGGACCTAGGACTTCAGATTACAAATGTTGCTTTCTCGTGTCATGCTCAGTCTAGTCACCAGCCTCAGTTAGCTTGGCTTTCAATCTGCAGCCCCCCACCCGCCCCACATCAGCCCAGTGATGCCCGGCAGTTTTGCGTAAGGCCTGTTTGGCCTCACTCCAAAATCCCCTGCGACGACTTCAGCTGTCTTTCCACAGAGAAGTTACAGGCTACAGGCTCGTCCACAACGGCTGTGCCTTCGCATCGCGGTGGACCCTCGATTGTAAGTGGCTTGTTCTGCGACGTGCGCAGTCTCAGATATCATCGTCGCAGCTGCTCTTAGCACTCGCGCTCGGTATTTCACTCTTAGAAACTGAACTTTGAACTTGACTCATGCGCAGCGAAGCTGGGAGCCTTGCCGAGTGGTCGCAGGGGCACCGAAGACCCCTTGGACTCGACTGCGAGGGAGGTCGCTGTCCCTCCCGTCGGCCTGTGCCTCTCGCTGCTCTTTCCACCGGGCCTTCTTCTGCGAGGTCTTCCCCGTCAGATAGTCGTAGGTGGTGATGTCGAGGACGACCAAATATGTGTGAAAGACCACCAGTGTCGAGTCCAAGAAGCAGAGCGGAATATTCAGCAGTGCAAGTACGACACTTATGAGCCAAACGAGGATATTGCCAAGACCAAGCGCATTTGTGGAGTCTCCGGCAGCCGTGGCATGATTGACGATGACCAAGATGTCCGCCGTGGAGCTTACCGCGAGCATCACGAGCAGTGACCAGATTGCTATGTAGAAATAGAGGTAATTCCGTGTTCCTATGCAAGTATTGAGCCATGGGCAATGGTGATCATAATTTGAAACACACTTGTTGCAGTCCCAGCAGTGCTTCGAGTCAAGTTGCACGTTTACCCGGCAGTTCTTGCAGTAGGCCATGGCATCGTGCTCTGGCGCAAGGCCCTCTTCGCACCTCCAAACGTTGATATCCATGGGATCCACGGTCATGGTGACAATCCCAAACAGGGCCGTCAGCGTGAATGAGACGCCGAAGATAATGCCGAAGATAAGTCGGAAGGGCTCATACAAAAGTGGGAAAAGGAACATCCCAAAGGCGACAGCATTTCCGATGCAGATGCAGATCGTTACCACCTGCCGCTTGGATGGTGGACCTGATCTCCCAAAAATCTGTTCTGCCGACAGTATCGCATCTCCTACTGCATTCCACTGTTCTGCCTCTGCACGTCTGTTTCGAACTACTGCACTTGTGGCTGAATTCCGGGCTCCCGGCAGTCCCATGCATTTCGTCGCCTGGGTAGGCTCGGCGGCATCTCAGCCCGACCACTTCGGCCACCATAATCTTGAGCCCAAGACAAGGCGGGACTGCACAAAAATTGCGCTGGTCAGGGCAAGGCCGGCTTTTTGACACAGTAGGGGGCCTTTAGGGGTCCTGCACATGCCTGAGGAAGGCACATGAGCTCTGCGTCCGAAGGCAGCTCATCGTTGCCGGCCTCAAGGGCTGCGACATGCTGTGGCTGTGACTTCCGAGACGCAACAAAAACACACCCAAACCGAATACGAATACGGCTCAGGGCCAGGGCTCCGGCACATAGCGGCAACCTGCTTCAAGCGGTATAGATGTCAGAGGCTGGGGGGGCTCCCGGGCCTGGGCTTCGCTCGTGCAGAAGAGACGCCGAGGCCGAAGACCAGCGCCTGCCCAAACAAAAACAAGAACGCGAAGACGCGAAGCGACACAGTGAGCTCAGAGCTCGAAGCCTAAGCCCAACAGCCACAAGCTCTCTGAGAAACTCGGACCCCGGCCGCAACCGCCTGGGAGTGGGAGGAGGTCGAAGAGCCTTGAAACAAGGGGAGCAACGGGAGGTTTTGCTGCGACGCTGCTGTGATGCTGCGACCTGAAGAGAGAACGCCTTGCACTTTTAACAGCCGGCAGACAAGCAGTACGCAGCACAACACACTCCGTTTGGATGTGCGCTATTTGCATGGCGCGAAGTTACCGTCTCTTGTTGTTAACTGCATGCATCTCTGGAACTTCGGCACCCACCCTCTGACAGCACCGCATCGAGGAACGGTGTATTGCGGGAAAACGTATAGAAACCAGCCTAGCCTTAGCCGCCTAGACGTAGATCAGCGTATATCCATATAACCTAGGAACACGCTGCCCGTGGGCGCCAGACCGATCTCCCGTCACTCCTTCGAAGCTCGGGAGTCTAACGAACAGGACTTAAGAATTCTCCTCCGTACACAGAAAGTATTCAGAAGCTAAGCATATGAGATCTGAGTCGCTGAGGCTCAGGTTTCAGTGAGTTCAAGTCACTGCAAGTCTGCTAGTCATCCCTCCTCGGACTGAGACTTACTCAGCAAGAAAGGATGCGAGAGCGCCTCATTAGCAGAGCCAAAGCGCTCGGCCGGATCGAAGGCAAGCAATCTCTGGCAGAAGTCCTTGCTCTGTGGGATCTCTCTGAAGGTCATGTGGCTCCAGTCCACCGGGTGGCTTTGCATTTGGATCACGACGTTCTCCATCCAGCGCCTGTTCGCCGCTGGCGACTTGGGGCTGTGATCTGGAAACTCGAAGAAGTCAGAGGGGTATGGCATCGCTCCCGTCAGCAACAAATATACGATGACACCGACACTGTACAAGTCTGTGTGCGCGGAATACATGCCTAAGAAAGCCTCCGGAGCATTGAACCGTGCGGTACCATAGCAGTGCCTTGCCAGACTTCTCGAAGCTTGGGGACTGAATGCTGCATCTGCATGGTCAAAATCGATGAGTGCCACCTTCTGCAACTTCCTTCCCGTTGAGTCGTCCTGCAGATGCATCACCAAATTGTCGGGCTTGATGTCCCTGTGGAGAATGCCCTGTTTGTGCAGGTGGCAAAGTGTGGCCAAGATGTCCCTGGCCACGCTGGAGACTGCCTGGGGTGGCATGTGTCCGTCTTTGTACTCCTGGCGCAGTCGGTTTCCACAAAACTTCAAAGCCATCTAAATTATAGCTTCCAACAAAAAAAGCACCCTCTCCAAGAAGCCGCCTGCTCCCCTCCCCCCTCTTTGGCAGGTCCTGGAGCAAGCATTCGAAGAAGGGGCCACCGGAAGCCCGGTCCATGACGACGTAGTAAAAGGTCTCGTCTTCTAAGATCTCCCTCAAGCGTATGACACCCGGATGGGGTGGAAAATTCAAGAGCCTTGTCTGTGCCCGTACAAATTCTTCCTCATGCAGGTCTTCGCGAAGCGATTCCTTGCTTTTGATCTTCATCACGAAGTTAAACTCTTCATCTGCTTGGTCCTTAGGTCGGCACACCACCACCTTCCCGCCATCTCCTTCTTGCTGAAGAACCTTCTCCCAGTAGTAGAGGTCGAAGATCTTCTCGCCTTCTTCCAAGCTGCGGATCTTCTTCAAAGGTTCCGAAGGCTCCGACGAAGGCCGCCGGGAGGGAGGTTGCGAGGGCACTCCCAATCGCTTACTGAAGCCCCGGCCTCCGCCCCAAGTCCTGCTGAAGCCGAGGCCTTTGGATCCCGGGCTCATGGGGCTGGCGGGGCTCATGGGGCTGGTGGGGCTCATGGGGCTGGTGGGGCTGATGGGCTCGTTCTCGGACTCCAACTTCTCAATCCTTTCGACCTTTTCCTTGGACCTCTTCTCCTCCCTCTTGGGAGAGAGCAAGCTTAAGAGCTGCGCCTGAGGCGTTGGCCGGAACGTTGCATCCGCCTCCCACTGCCGGTCAATAGCGGAGGTCCGGGGTTCGCGGGGAATGCTCATCGTGGCGCCGAGCTCCACCTTTGTACTAGAAGGCTTTGGTAGCACGGCTGTTGCAGCCTCATCACCGCCACCCTCTCGTTCGCCCATACCAAAGCCAAAGCCATCGCAAGGAGGTGCGGGGCCAGCCCAGGTGCGATGGCGGTGCTGCGATCTTACTGGGCGAAGCTGGGGCAGGGAGAGTGCTTGTGGGGCGTGTGCAGACAGCGGAGCGGTGCGGCCCGTGCTTTCTTTGGGTGATTTTGGTCTCGGCGAGCTCCGTGGACTTGATGTGGACTCCAACAACATGGACTGGCTGTGGAGCAACTCTCGCACAGACAGTCCGGTGCGCGAGGGTGTTCGGGACGGGGTTCGCGAAGACGTGCTTCCCCTGCTAGCTGGCCTTGTCTCTGGCGTTGGAACAGTCAATGTGCATGTCGTGGCACGTTTGAGTGGCATGGCTCAAAGCCATGCGCTGTGCGCACGGTGGCCCTATGCTTTGGCCATGGCCGTGTCCTATTCCTCAGCTGGGCCAGAGATTTCCCGGCACAGGTCAACACCAACACACTGCTGCATAAAGGTGCAATATGCATGGGCCGGCAGGCCTGCAGATAGCCCATGCAGTGGCATTGATAGATGCACCATGGCCTGGCCTAGGTAGAACCGTCCGCTGGACTGCGGGATGACCTGGCAAAGACACACCCAAGAAAGTTCTCTGACACAGTGCAGAAGCACCAAGAAGATGTGAACATCTCTGGCACGGGCCTTGTGTTCTTTGGCGCATGGCAGCCATTTCAAGGATGGATGGCGCACGATCATGCTCAGCTAAAATTTACCGAACGCCCCTGTGCTCGGTAATTGCAATGTATTGCACTTGGCCATTGGTCGTCAGCCGATCAATCGCCTCCAAGAATCTGCTTGTAAGCAACCCGGGACTAGGAACTGGAGAGAACTTCCTGCTTCTTATCTGTTTGCAAGGCACTTGCTGTTACATCTCGACGGAAAAATTAAATGAAGACTAAACTGGGAACAAGAGAATTCGCCCACATTTTGTTCAATTTGCTTGAAATAAGGCATGTGACGTATTTGGCTCCGCGCACATGCCCTCAAACAAAGTCGTGACACTACGGGGATCCTGGCATCCATAGTAGAGTGGCGCTGCTACATGTTTTTCGCGAGAAATCGTGCATGGCCACCCGGCGATTGCGGCGCTACTGTGCACATGTTCGATTTACATCGACGTCTTTCCACCCTGCCACTGCAGCCGCGTTATGTGGGGACACAGAAGTCATGCTTCCAATCAACTGCACCAGTCCAATCGCCCTCCCACCAAGATCCCGTGCTCGGCTTTGCAGGCTGTGTCCTCCGAAATCTTTCTACGGCCGCAGTGCCCCGCGCCTTTTGCTTCCGATCCCAGTCACTCCCGGCAACGTACCGTACGCATTTGGGCTCACGGGGTGGGCGTGTGCTCCTGGAATAGTCCTTTCACTGTTTACGCTCGACTTGCCAGGCGAGGATCCAGGATCCATGGGTTACCGTCGGCGTGACACTGTCCTTTCACTGTTTGGGTTCTATGGTGGCGCAACTGCGTTAAGTATCGTCACACGAACAACATGCGGCGAAGCGAATTCGTTTCTGCCTTCCTTCGTGTTATTGTACACGGTTGCTCTACCATCACGCTGCATTCTGTGGTTCCATCGCCAGCCTATTTCAACGCTACCATGTACATTCGATTGCAACATTCCGTGAAAACCGAGATCGTTCCACCCCAGTAGTTATTGATCGGGGGAGGCCGCATGCTGCTGCTCATGCTCCAGTTTGTTTCGACTTTCATGTCGCCTCAGCCCTTCGTCTTGAGCCTCAATGTCGTCACGGCCTCTGCGATGAATGCCACAACATGTACTGCAGGATTCAGCCTCGAAAATACCAACCTGCTCCAAAAGCATGCAGCACGGCTCTACCATTCGCATGCGGCCTTTTGCGGCGGCAGAGTCGCTGCGAGAAACAGATCATGTTCTTCATGCCTGGTATGGCTTTGCACTGGGAGGCGGTGGCTGAGTTCAAAGGCCGCCAGTCAAACGCAGCCGCAGCCTTCGAATGCTTCTCATTGTCACGGTTCGTGTAGCTCTTCGAATGCTTCGGGCAAGCCCTGCAATTGGAGCACTGCACGGAGGTCAGTTTTCGGGTGCGCCCCAAGCTGCCACTCCGTTCAACAAGAAACTGTAAGTCCACGCAGTGAAGCTGCTCGCATCGCAATCTCGAGGTGACTGTGACCACGGCCGTGGCCATAGCAAAGGAGGGTGTGTGCGAAGAGTCTCTCAAGTATCCAGCAGCTTTCTGCGTGGGAACAGAGCGAACCTGGCCAGACATTGCCAGTCGCCACGGCTCAGTGAGCTTTTCCTCAGCCCAACTTCCTGAGTCTCAGCGCTTGCAATGCCTTGAACGTCTGCCATGCCCTGCTGGAAAATGCGGCATCGGCGGTCGTGCTGAAAGGTTGAATACGTGCGCCAAAAGAGAGGACGGCAACATCTTCCAGCGCAGGTCCGCTCAACGATGTGCGGATGCACCCTAGTCTTGGATAGCGCATGGCACTTATCGCGACTGGTGGGCGGACAGACGCCGGCAGTAAAGACCGCAGGGAGCCGTCAATGCTCGGACGTGGAGAACTGGAAATTGCCGCAGAGCGCATCTGGGGTTGGGCTGCGGCCTGATCCCGAGCTTTCCTGCAGGTAGATCGCAGCTGGACAGTCAGGGTTGGCAAGACAAACTTGGCATGCCTGCTCCACCTCAGAGGCAGCTTAAAGGAAGAGTCAGAGGACGTGATGGAAGCCAGGATGGTGAGCTCGGCTCTGCCCAAGCAATTTGCGGTCCCAAACATCTGCCCATCAGATTCTGCGCTCTGTTGCCTCGGTGGCTCTGACAACCTCATTGCCTAATCCTGTTACATTGCAAGAAGAGCGCCGACGCTCTCAGACTCGGCGCAGCAGCCTTTGCCACATTGGAAAGCTGTGTCAGGTTACACCAAGCGGTTGTCCGGGCACCGAAACAGCTTCTGCTCCTAGCTCTGAGCTCTTTAAGGGACAAGTGCGTGCGCCTCACTGGCTTTCTTAATCTCTTTGTTGGACGCGGCGCAGCAAACCTGTGGCGCAGCACCGAAGCCGCTCCAACAGCCCTTGGGGCTGGGAGTGCTAGGGAGCTGCCAGCAGAGCTCATGGACGACGACGCTTAGCGAGGCTCGCACACGAAGGCTTTACAAAGGTCCCGGCGACGAACGGCCTAGACCTGTCCGCACAGGGCAGTGACGGCAGTGATTTGCAGCTGAGCCTCCTCCGAAAGTGCATACAAGGGGTGGAAGGAGCCGTGACCTTCACAGCTTGTCGAAGAAACGGCCCCGGCTTGCGAACTTCGAAGGGATACCTGCTTGAAGAGTGGTCACGGCAAGGTCATGGAGACCTGATTCCGGCATGTCCTTGATCTTAACATCTAGAGACTGCTTCGCAAACTGATTTCTCTTGACCCCGCACGGAGGGTGTGCAGCCCGCTTATGTGCGAGCGGCCTGCCCGCGGCACAGGTAGAGTGCAGGCACGTGGCAGGATACACCCTGGAGCCAACTCGATAAGGCCTGGCAGTCCACAAACAGCTCTTGAGGGCTCTTAGCTCGGAGCAAGACCGCCTCGGTTTCAACTCCGGCTTTTGTGAAGGGATCTCCTTTTGCAAACGGGCGCGACCTTCACTGTGCTTAAAGCAGGGGCTTTAGGGCATTTCTTGTCACAGTGCTTATCTAGGTCGTCTCGCGTGAACACCTGGCAGAGACAAGGACTGCATCGATGTAGCCACCGCAGATTGTGGCGGGGTCGCCGCCGACATCACGCACAGCGCTTGCTTCAGATCAGATGCTCCTTGGCCGCATTGGCCGGCGCACGCGACTAGAAGCAGCTTTTAAGCTGGAGTTGGCAGGCACATGCGGCCGTCTGCACAGGGCACCGCAGGCGGTGGGATGGCTTTTTGACTGACAAGCGCCGCTTCCACGCAAATGTCCATCCTGACCTTCTCCACAAGGAAGTCTAGCCGTCTAGCCTCTACTCTGACCTGACTCCGCGGGCCCCCAAACCCGACAAGAAGCCAAAGGCTGTGCCCAATTTGCTGTGGTTTTCGAGCTCACGCCGTGCAAACGCGTGAGCCGCGTGAGCAGTTCAGGAGACACGGGCCTGGTGCTGGAGCCTTAGCCGCCTTAGCCTTGCTGCAGATTGCTGCAGTCGCATAGGGCGCCCTTCTGCGCCAGCGCTGCGTCTCAGGCTCCGCGAGACGGAGATCGTAGTAGTGGAGCTCTCAGGCTGAGCGGCTTAGCCAAACGGCGCGAAGCGGCGAGGGGGGATGCAGAAAGGGCCTCAGGCCTCGAGCTCGAGGCCTGCGAGGCTGAAACCGAGGAATGCGGCGAATGCGACAGAGATGCAGGGGAAGGCTCGGGAACAAGCAGTCTGATCAGCTTGCCCCATGCAAACAAGTGTGGCCTGCTCGTGGTTAGAAGGCTTTCCACGCAAATCTGACTCTTCAGACTTTTCGAGCTTCGGGACGACTGACGGACACAGACCGACACGGCCAAAACTCTGCAGCCAGCACAGTCGGTGCAGTCAGAGGCAGGAACGGCCAGCTTGGCCGCGTTGACGAATTGAGACGAAGGGGCAAAAGACACTTTCAAAAACATTCGGATGGGGCAGCTCGCGAGCCTCGCCAAAAACATCTTGCTCGTTGCTAGCTGATTGCCACTTCGGAAGGAAGCAACGGCAGTGTTCCAGGACGAAATGAGGAACGGTGCGCTGACAAGGACATGTCCAAAGCGGGCAACGTGCCGCGATCGGGATCAGCCGGCTGGGTGCGAGAAAGACGAGAAACCTTCCTTAAGGGTTCGGCCCTCCCGCCTGCGCGGAAGGCGCACGGGCCACAGCTGACAGCAAGCGAGGCCTGGTGGAGCGATGTAGACAACTCTCCCCCTGACATCGTGAAGCTTCTACATGCATTCTTTTGACTCTTGAGTGCCTTCGGCCTTTGCCTTAGTAAGGCCTCTGCTGCATCATTGCAGCTTGAAGTCTCACTCGGATGGCCGAGCTATCTGATTTGACTGCACTTTCGGCCAGCAAGCTGGGACACCATGGGCCGCTTGTAGACCCGCTGTGCGGGCGCAAGTCTGCTCTGCGCTGGAGCGTGGGTTTGGGGACCCTCGGGAGGGAGACTCAAAAGGCCGCGTTGACGGCTGAGGCAAAGTGAGCACGGCCTTGCGCCTCTGCACCGCAACGGGAACCGCAGGAAAGGGTTGGCGTTGGCTTGACTGTTTCGTGAAACCCCCGAAGCTTCAAAGCCAGGTGGAAGCATCCATCTATTGGCAAACGGGAACCTCCGAGGCAAACACCTCGGACCTTCAGAAGAAGCCACGGCTGAGGGGCCAAAAGAGCGGAGGGAT